TGATTATAATTTATTTTTAAAAAAATAGAAAAAAAAAACAAAAATGTAAGAATTCCTAGTAAATAAAAAATGACATTTCTATAATTTCTTCTATAAAAATTAAAGAAAAAAAAATATTTTTTTATACTATTACAGGAGTAGAGAATTTAAATCTTATAACTTGGAGAAGTTGTTTATGTTTGAATCAGAAAAAGAAAATATAAGTTGAAAAGAGAGAGCTAAATAATTTAGATACATGAATTCTAAAGGTAGCTCGAGTGGTCCAAAGGCCCCAATTAATAAATGAAATTTTAATTTCTTGAACCACAGCTCTCCATGGGTCCACTCCATATTAGATTTTCACATTTCTTGGAAATGGGTGCCTTCAAAATATTTAATAGAATTACATGAATTCTAGATTTCAAATACTAATGAGTATTTAAAATTGTTTTATAATGATATAATTTGCAAAATAACGAAATTGTATAAGTGTGACATGTAATTATCTCAAGATTTTTTTTTAAGTCTCTCATGTCTTTATCATAATAAATTTTGTTGTTGATTCCCGTACAAGTAAACAAATGAACGTCTATTCATGAAAAAATAGACAAATAAATATCTTCATTTTAATTGCGTGTTAAAAAGATCAAGGAAAGTGATTGGAATTGGAATTAAAAGAAAATTTTCTTTCTTGACTTTTGTTTTCCCTTATTTTTCATAAAAGAATGCAATGAGAAGGGAAAAAAAAGTGTTTTAAAGGGAAAGAGTGTAGGAGGGAGGATGAAATATTTGTTGAAAATTAATTTAAAAAAAAAATGTGTACGTCTCAAAAGAATAATAAGAACTCATGCACGAAAAAACTAAAGAGAAATATTTAGAACTAGAAATTAACAAAATAATGATATATCTTGTATTGAGAAAAATAACAAGAAAAATATTTTGTTAATTTTTGTTATTATTATTTTAAACAGAATTTGTAGTGATTTATTAAGATAGGTGGATGTTGAAATTTTGTTAGGTAGGGCAAAGTCTATAATAAATGTTGTAGGAAATCAAGCCGTTTTTCTCGTTAAGCAATAATACGCAATTAAACAAAAATGTTTTAAAAGAGCAATATATATCAAAGTCTATAATAAAAAATATATATATTGAAAAACAAACTAATTTATTTCAATAACTCAAAAACAAGTAATTAATATGCATTTGTGACATAACCATCCATGGGCCCTCCTATTGAATTATTGGTGTGTATAAATGGACAATCTTGTGACGTGTCGTCCTTCAACATTACTAAAACAATTAATTTTTAGAATCCTTAAATTAGGTTTCAAAAAATCAAAAAAAGAAGGGGAAAAAAGTTTGTTGATAAGAAACCTTTTTATTTTACCAAAAATATTCTTGATGGTTGCAAAATTTAATGGCTGTATCCATTAGGTTCTGAACGTTAAATACTTTTAATTTTGATTTTATTAAATCGTTATCACGAACACTATTACTAAAAAATAGACTTGATTTGGCATGCGGTACAAAAAAAAAATTATACCAACGATGTAGACAAAGGTAGAAACCATGATAACATAAAACAAAAACCAAAAGTAAATGGACGTAATTCAGATCTTTTAAAGTTTAATTACTGATAAATATAGTCATCAAAGTTTNTTTTTGAGAAAATAATATAGTCATCAAAGTTGAAAGATACACAGGGATTTTAGAATGAGTAATTTTAGTAAAAGAGATTTAATGATAATTGATTTTGTGAAAGTAAATTTTATATCATTATTTTAATATTTTTTCAAAGTGATTTTTATATAATTAAAAATAATTTTGAATGATTATTATTTAAAGTTTAAAGAGAGAATTTGACCAAAAAAGGGAAAAAAAATAGAGTGAAACAAAAATCTTAGAGAAAAATTTTAGAAAGTGAGAGACAAAAATTTTAGAGAGAGAAATAAATTTAGAGAAAAAAAAAGTTTATAGAGACTAGAGAGATCTCAAAAATTTTAGAGAGAAAATTTAGAAAGAATAGATAAATAAAGTTAGAGAGTGACACAAATTTTAAAAATTTTAGAAAAAGGAAAAAGAATCATGAGGTGAAAATAAGGTGAATAGAAAAAACAATAACCATTTCAAAAATTAATTAATTAAATTTTTTTTTYTTTTTTGAAGAAAATCACTTGGAGAATCACATTGTAAGTGATGATCAAGAATCACTTAAAAATCACTCATAAATCCTGATAAACATTATATTTCAAAATTAAAGTGACGTTGTCATGAGTAAGAATTATTTTATCCATATCAAAATCACTCTCAATCATGTTCGAAATTGATAGTTTAAAGGATGCTCTACGCCAGTCCTTGGACTTTCTTAATGAGTCCATTAGGTCTTCGCGTTTATTTCAGGTATTTGCTTAAAAATAAAAAAGAAAAAGAAGAGTGAATAATTTAAGGGAATATCTTAAAACAATGAAAGTATATACTTTAAGGTTAATACTATATTATAGTTTGAACGGGGAAAGTGGGGAGTGGCCTGAAGAGTCGGCAGCCGTCAGCCCTACGGTCAACCTTTTTGCAGGTCGGTTCCCATTTCCTACTTTATAATAATAATAATAATAATAATAATAATGTTCTTAATTAAAAAATAATTAACATCAATTTGGGATTATTTTTTTTTGTTTTCCAAGGTTCTGTATTTGATTCCCACATTATAATTTTATAATTTAACCTAACACTCAAATTGCTTTAATTTTTTTATACTTGTTTTCTTTATTTTTTGATTCGGTCGTTGATCCATTTATAGTCCTCCAACTATAAAAAATATTTATACAAAAAATAAAAAATAAAAAAAAGATTCTGAAAATCTAAATGCTTGTCTGTCTAAATATTTGTTCAAAATTAAATAAACCAAAATGTATTCCATGTCATATTTTTACTAAATAATTTTATCCGCAAAGTTAAGATACCATAACCAAGCAAAATGTTTAAAAGTTAAAAAAGGACTAAAATAGAATAAACAAAATTTAAAAAACTAAAGTAGAAGTTAAACCTACGACTAAAAAACTTTTCAAATTTATTATAAAATTCAATCACACGCTAAGAGAGTAAACTACAAACTTTCAAACACCCACCCAATAAAAACTTTGATTTATTTAGTGTACAATTCTATTTTTCCAAACTTTGACTAATCGCACAAAATAACTATTTAACCTTATAACATTTATCTTACTGAGATATCATAGAATTTGAACTTTGAATCCATCTCCCAAAATTCTTAATGCCTTTTTCACTATCCCAATAGCGAAGGGTGGTTATATGGCAATTCATTTTTTATGAACTTGGTAATATTATGACACAAAATTTGCCAAAGAAACTAGTTTGGGTTGTGAATCATAACTGAGATTAGCTGATTCTATTTACAAAAACGATTAGACAATAGCTTATAAAGAGCCAAGAAAATATGGCAAATGAGAATGGAGACAGAACTAACCTGGAACTGGTTGCTCAGATGAACACCTTGAATCCATTCTCACCTCTTTGTGAATACTCATTAGCAACAACTGTTATGCAGATGAGTTCATCCATCTAATCCTCGTTCCTTCATCATCAATCTCACTCTCTTCTCGTCTTCTGATCTCCCAGCATTGCCATAAATCTTCATCAAAAGCTCGAAATTCAGCTCGTTATCTGGCTCCAATTCGAAAAGCTTTTCAGCAGCAATCTCAGCAATATCTACACTGCCGTTGCGAAGAAAGCACGCATACAGCAACGCCCCCCATACGGTCGGACCCGCCTCGAGCTCCATCCCTCTTATTATGATTCTATAAGCTTCTTCAATCAGCCCTGCCCTCCCATAAAGATTCACCATACAAGCATAATGTTCCATGGTTGGCCTTATTCCATACTTCCCTTTCATTACAGAATGTAACCTTTCCCCTTCCTTCACCAAGCCCAGATGGGCACAAGTTGACAGCAATGACACAAATGTTACAGTGTCTGGCAAAACACCATGGCTCTCCATTTGTTCAAAATATTCCAAAGCTTCTGAGGTATTGGAATGAGCAGAGATTACGGAGTTCCAAGAGATTGTGTCTTTTTGAGGCATCTGCTGGAACAGCCATTTTGCTCTGTCAATCTTACCACTGTTGGCATACACGACAATCAAGGAGTTAGCAATGGACAAATTCCATTCGACTCCTTGGCGAATTACCCATCCATGGATGTGTAGCTTGAATTTCAACGACGAAATGTTAGAAAGAATGGTGGATAAAGCAACTGAATCCGGCTCGTAGCCTTCTCGAATCAATTGATCAAAGATGTCCAATGCCTCCAAGAGAAGCCCGTGGCGTGTGTAACCAGTGAGCATCGAGTTCCATGAAACTGTATCCTTACAGACAATCTGATCAAATACTTTTCTAGCCCTCACAATGTCACCACACTTGGAATACATGTCAACTAGAGCATTGAGGACAAAGACATCACCTGCAAAGCCCGAACGCACGATATGCCGGTGCACCGCCTCCCCTATTTGAATTGACCCAATGCCACCACAGGCCTTGAGCACACGAGGAAAAGTGAAGTGATCGGGTTCAACACCTTCTTCCTCCATTTGAAAGTACAAGGCCAGAGCATCTTCATAAAGACCAAGTTCAGCATACCCAGAAATGAGAGAATTCCAAGCAAATGCAGAGACATTCCGTTTACACATTTCATCAAACACCTGGTGTGCACTCTCCATGTACCCAAAAGAAGCATACAGACGAAGAAGTTTGGAAGAAACGCCCACATTTCTCCGTAAGAGAGTGGTGGGTATTAGGCGATGAATCCGAATAGCATAGCCAATGGCTCGCAATTGGTAACAAGTTTCCAAAAGGGAAGAGAAAATTTCAGCATCAAGAGGGACGCCATTCTCGAGGGAAGCTTCAAGGTCATCGAGGACAGCTTCAAGGGCTTGAATTTTGGTTTGGGAGAAGGGTTTGTGGTGGATTAAGAGAGGGGTTGATGAGGATTTAGGGAAAGAGAGAGTGGAGTGTTTGGATTTGCTGATGCGAATTAGTTTTTCTTGAAGAAGTTTCCTTCTCTCTTTCTTGGATTTCTTGGGTTTGGAAGAACAGAAGGGAGGAAGCGAAGTCGACAGTTGCAGAGAGATCAGCATTGGGCAAACAAACCGTTTAAAGAGGCAAAATGGCGGTTACAAAGCGGTCATTATGGGATTTTAAAGCATTATCGCAGCGCATGGACATCGTAATTTTATAATCATGGAGAATATTGTTTGGATTTTTTTTTTTTCAAAAAGAAGACAGAACAGAAGTTTTTTTTTTCTTTAAATATTACTCATTAAAATAATTTTATAATCATGGAATAGAATCATAGAAAATGGGATTTCTTACTTTTTTTTTTTTTACTTTTTTTTTCTTTTTTGTTGCGTGCAAATCTTATGAGAATTGTGTCCTCCTCTTGAATTAAATCTCATAAATAACTTTACATACGTTCACGTTGGTATAAATAACTTCTAAGATTATGAAAACTTCTTGTTGTTTTTTTAATTAAAAAAACATGCTCAATTGTTTTCTTCAAATAAAATCTCAACAAATTCATCTACTTTTTTTTCATTTGTCTAAGTTTAAATTTTATTTTATTTAGCCTCTAATTTTCATGCCAATTTCATTCTTTTTTTTTTTCTTAAACTCTCAAACATATTGTTTTAATTTATAAATTTTATATTTAAAAAATTGTTAAAATACTATTTTGACAAGTGTAATTACAACTTTGTTTCATTCTAGTCCCTATACTTTCTATATTTTTTAAATGTTCATTTTAATCCTCATAATTTTAGAAAGTCACTATTTTAATTCCTATTTTTAAACTTTTAACACAAATTCTACACATGATAAATATATTTTTTAATATAAAGTCGTAATTACATTTTAAGAAATATATTAAGCATAGTGTCGTGTTGAAATTATGATAGAAAAATCAAGATTAAAAATAAAATTAACAAATCAAAATGGACACTTTTTAAGTATAGAGACCAATATGAACATTTTGAAAATACAAAAACTAAAATGAATTAAAGTTAAAAATACGTCGACCAAAATAAATATTTATTTCAGTATTTTGAAAATACAGGATCAAAATGAAGAAAGGTGAAAGGTAAAAGTACACAGAGAAAAGTAGTATTTTAACTTTAAAAAAAAGAACATTTTAATATGGGTTCAAATAAGGGTCTCCCACCKTAGAATTTATAATGACATTTTCTTTCTTTACTTTCTGTTTCCCCTCTTCTCTGCATAGCACATGAATAACCATGCCTCTCTCAAGTCTCAGCCTCCTTTTACCTTATTATTTTTGCCAGAATTATCATTCAAATCAAGATTTTATCAATGTTTCGGCATATACTAATAGTATCCAATATTACATTCATAAACATATTTATCAATTCTGTGTGTGTGAATATTAAGCTGGGGAATATATGGCACCTGTTCAGGTCAAGAATATGCAGCCAACAGGTTTCCTTTTCCTCTTCAAAAAAGAAATGAAATCACTTTTGGACCTGTAAGAAATTCACAAGTCTGCACTTGATGTTCAGTTATGTTACATTCTTGAAAAGCCTGTAATTGGGAAAATTAAACTCACAATGATCTTCTACCGAAACGAAGAGTTCGTTCGAAGCATAAACCGAGATCTTTCTGCGCTCCTTGTTCTATGTAAGACAATTAACCAACACTTTCAAGTTTCAAGTTTTCTGCGGCTGAACAAAATTTATTCTTGTCATAAGACTTGGAGCTTTTAATGGCTTAGAAGTGATTAAACAATTGACTACAAACACTGAGTTGTATCAGAAAAAATGGGATTCTATAAGGTTCTGAGTTTAAAACATCTTTACTGCTAAAATATGCAAGCCAGTCATATAGCAAAGACGTGCGGAAAACTAAATTGAGCACTGAAAGTGGAAACAGAAACCAAGTACCTCAAATCAAATGATGCAAATACTGGATAAACTTGTTTGTATATTTCATCCACTGATCCAACTGCATTTATCTGCGATATGGTTTCAGTTAAGGTATAAATTTGGATACAAGTAACGGGTATTACTTGAAAGAAGAATTTAAAAGCATGGTCAAGGTAAAGATTTGAGTTCATAACACAACCAATAAATACCTTGTATAGCTTTCCTTTCTCCATATAGTATTTGACTACAGGAAGATTTAATGCCGCAAAGACTTTTAGCCTTTTCTTGATTGTGTCTATGTTGTCATCAACTCTTCCCTGCAAAATATACCATATTGAGATACTAATGATGATGCCGCTTTGGAAGCGGGGAAGATCGAACACATGTTAGGCACCTCATTACGATTAAGCACCCGCTTCACCATTTCATCTTCTGGACAGTCAAAGAAAAGTACAACGTCTGGTTCTGCCCCAATCTGCACCATGAACGACAGAATTGAATTACACCAAGCAGTACACCATCTTCTGCCTCATGATAAATAATCGTAGAAATGTGGATTCTGTTTGAATTTCCCTCATTAACCTCGGTGATGATCTTGCTTCATAATACAGTTCTTGGGAGACAATATTTTACCACAGGGAAGAAATAACTGAATGGGCAGAGTATAGAAAAAACTCACAATTTTTTCAAATGCTATCCGGTTATCCTCGCTCCGTGGGAACCCATCAATAAGAAACTTATAGTTGTCACTTGATTCCATTTCCTTTTGGACAAGTTTGACAGTCAATTCTGAAGGAACTATTCTTCCTTCTTTAATTGTGTTGAGAATCATGGTACTGAAAAATAGTAACTCACAATCAAAAGACGTCATCAAAGGATCTAGATGGACATGTAAGTTTTCTCAACAAGGCAAACGACGCATAGTTACCCATCTGCACTATTAGAAGCTATTTCCCTCCTTAATAGATCTCCTGCACTCAAATGTGTAAATCCAAAGTGTTCAACAATCTTCATACATTGTGTACCTTTACCACTTCCAGGACCACCTGAAAACATTGCCACTAATAATATATGCAGGCCTTGTATATAACAACCATCCACGTCATATGACTCGTATCACTAATCATATTAAAATGTTTTGTAATTCACTTACACATATATAAAATTTAAGAACCTTTTTGTCCTAACCAGAATCATTTATTCAAGAAAATTCATAAGAGCTCATGATAGAGAAGGTGAACAAATATGAAAATGGAAGGAGTATTGTTGCATTATTTTATGACACTAGTTTATATTTACAAAAATGTTACCTGACATTCCTATTTTGTTAAATCTTTCAATACAGCAAGTAAGTATATGAATTTGATATTTACAATATACTTGGGTATCTAATCTATTTTTCCATTCTAGTAAGAAAATATTTTCTCACTAATGGGTGATAAGCAATAACTGATGAGCACTGCATTTATCAGCAACTACCGACCATTCTCTTGAGTATGGGTTCATAACCATATGTAATTAACTTCTTAAACCTATTAACTATTGTAAAGAAAAAGGTCAATAAGTGCACTCAGAATATTAAGCAATCTCCACTGAGAAACAAACTGTTAGGATCCTGATTTTAAGAAAACAACAAAAATCTTTATTGAACATCAATAGCCTTATGAGAGGGCTCTCTCACACAATCCACCCACTTATGGACTAACTTCCCAAAACTAAGCCCTCTCACACAATCCACCCACTTATGGACTAACTTCCCAAAACTATGTCTAGCCCCTCGACTTCCTAACCCTTTCTATTTATAACCAACCCACCCCAATAACTACCAAGTAGTTATAACCACCCCACCCTAATAACTACCGAGTAATCACAATTATGTCTTGATAATATTACTAATATAACCCTATTAATACACTAACACAAACATAGAGATTTAAGGTTGAAATCGACCAAGTGAGGCTTGCTGCTAGAGCCATGAACATTTTATTTTTAGATACTTTGAGCCGTAACACCCTTTGAAGAAAAGAACTTCAAAATATATCAAGTTATGTGTTCACTTGGCTTCACAGTACTTTCTAAAATATGAAAAAACTATGTATAATAAATCACAAAAATAAATACAGCTCCCTTCAATGTCACCAAACAAATAATAATAAATAACAACAATAAAGTGAATATTACCTAACACAAAAGTGACGAATGGTGCTTCATCTTTTGTAAAAGTTCCACCTTTTCCCTGCACTCCAATTAATTTAAAAACTTACTCCAAGTATATCAGACAGTAAATTTAACATGAGAAGATACATAAACAACATACGTGCATATAGATCTTTCATGTGGGAGCAGAGGCTTGAACTCGTGAACATTAATTTTCAATTCTTCTCATCATAGAGATGAAACAATATTTACTAAACATAGTTCCCCGTGATTAAGAGAGAAACTGCAGCATGATATGAAGATTCCAGAGACAATAATAAGGCTAAGCAATTCATGTTGACCTTGCTTCTACTTATCCCAGGTAAATGATAGGTTTGAACTGTTCATTTCTTTGAAAAACACAGAAAATGAAAAAAAAAATCTACAGAACTGGATGGTGCAGATGCGTTTAGAGTTGACACAAGATCAAAAATATCATTAAGAAAAGACATATATATGAGGAGTTATTCATCTACAAAACTAAGTAGAGAATTAAAAGATGTAAAATGCAAATATTACCATTCTGGGTATTTCAGTGGTAAATGCTTCCCAAAACTTCGACTTACACACATCCTGCATTGGTATCAAGGATGGAAGGGGTGAAACCAGTAATAGAATTGCAGAGACTAAAAAGGAGCACAGGTTTAATATATAAGAAGCAATTTAAAAGCACATCATCTGAAACTTTTTCTTTAGTAAGACGTATTTTGTGAAATTAGAGAATGAAGCGTGGTGAACGATTTAAAAATACATAAACTTCCAAGAATGTGGAGGAAAGTAGGAATATGACAAAGGTTCTAAAGTTGCCGATGCCCTGTTTGTTCCTAAGTCAGACAAGCCTTAATTCCAGAACATATTATCAAGCGATTTCTTCTCTGCAACATGCTGGATTAAGGGTTTTATTGAAATGACTTCTAGTTCTTCGTCCACACCTTCTCTATAGTTTGTTCAACCAGGCTCGCATGAATATCCATTCTTCTGTTATTGCTGAAATCCATCTCATATCCTTTTTTCAACTTTCTCTATTGCCAAATATCTTGGCCCGCAAGTAGATACGACCTCAACGAAGTCGATATTATTTTAAGCTTCAACCCAAAATATAAGGAAATATTTTCATATCCCGGTATAATCATGACAATAATAAGCTTAATCTCTTTTCGGTTCTCCATTGCAATACATGTGGAGAGGTTCCTTTAGCAATAAGCCAAGAAAATTTATATCATGAAAGAACGGGAGGTTATAAAATCCAAACCGGAAGCTAGCAAGGTTACGAAAAAAGACTTTCTAGTCAGCTAAGATTGAGAGAGGGAATGGTCTCAAAAGCTTTTAACTCGAAAGAAGAATGCATATGATCGAAAGAGATACCCATTTTCAACGTACATACTATGCATCATTCTTTGAATCAAAACTACAAAAAACGAAAAACAAAATCAATGAAATAAGTCATTGCCGCAAGAAAGACAGGGAGTTAGAACGCTTCTAGCCTTTCAAAACATATATTCAATTGACGTAAGAAGGAATTAAAAAATTGGAAGAAGCCGCCCATTTCTGGTTCAATACAACAAAAATCAAAATATAGCATCTGGGTCGGAATCATTTGGAGAGATCAAAGTTGTTCCGGTGATTACCTTACGAAAAATGGACTTATGGGCAGACGTCAAATGAGAGACTGAAGCAACTCGCCTCCACATCTTCTATCTCTCTCTCTCTCTCTCGCTCTCTTCCAGAAGCTGTAGCCTACCTGATACGGTTGAAATCGATCATGGGATTCAATGTGACATTTCGTCGAACACCTGCGATGCGTTTTTGAGGTGGGCTGGAAACCGATGGCCCACGTAGCGGGTGCCTGCTGTCAAGGTCTTCTTCTTCGGAGGTTGATCATAAATGGTCCTGACAGGGACGCCATGAAACACGCATACAGTGGGATCCACGTTACGATCTCGCGCAAGGGACGGATCAGCTTTACAAGGACTTGGATTTTACCGATTGAAGTTTGGGATTAGGCTATAACTATAAGCTATTACCATTTCCTCGCAGTTACGTGGTAGATCAAGATCATGGACGAAGATAGAAGCAACATAAAAGGCTTGAGGCTCTTTTCAAAAAATAGTTCAATCTTTCTTCCAACTAATTTCCTTCTGCCAACCTAAAACACGACTTTTATCTAAGTATAACAAATTTTTAACTTTTTATAATAATAATAATAATAATAAACTATGTTTTTTTTTTTACTTCAATAATAAACTATGTTGAAGTTGATTGATTACTTAAAGTGTATATTAGTGTGTTAAAATCTTTACCCATGTGTTCTTATATTAAAAATAATAAAAAAAAGTTTGTTATAAATTAAATTGTAAGTTTAATTCTATTGAATTTGATTTTTATAATTAGAATTTGATTTTTATAATTTTTAGTATGATTAGATGATTTGTTCTACTAAAAAAAATATTAGATTTATATTTAAATACCATTGCGGTGATTGAAACTCGTCTTATGGTATACTTTTAAATTTGGTTTACTTTTCAGGTATTTATTTTTTTAAATGTCAATTTTAATTAATTTATTTTTATTTTTATCTCATTTCATTCCATCAAAATTTCAACATCATATTTCACTTGTTAAATTTCTTTAAATGATATCTACTTTGTATAAATTTTGTGTTAGAATTTTATAAATTGGCTATTTTAAAATATTACATTAACCAAAACTCAAATTTTGAAATTACAAGCACTAAAATAAAATAAAAATGATAGTACAATTACCAAAATTAATTTTTGGAAATGCCCGAAACAAAATTTGTTTCAGTAAAATTACCAAAATAATATTTAAACCAAAAAATTAACATTTATCCCAATAATTATCTATGAGAAAAGAGATGTTATTTTGTCACAGTCCTGTTTAGATGCAAAACAATATACTTCTATCATACATTTCTCGTAGTACAATGGTTAGAGTAGAGTTCGAATTCACAATAAATTTAAGATTTGTTGCATTATAAATTTTCTTTTTTGATCATTTGTATCATGAACTATGGGACGGTGAAATTCTTCACAGAAATTTAACCAATAAATTTCGCAATTTATCATGGATAATTAACTTTTATTTTGAGAATCTAAAAAAAAAAAAGAAACGGAAAATAATTATGGATACTCCAGTTCTGTGATCCCAAAATTTCGTGGGGAAGAACGAAACGGGGCGCGAGAAGCCTGTACCCGCCCCGATAAGACTCCTATAAAATGCTTGAGAGTTGTGATTTCCAGACATTTTTATTTTATTTATTTTGTTATGCCCAAGCGCCCTTGACTGACGTGCGCTGCAACTCTGCGTTAGGCAAATTTCTTGCCTATCGCACTTGCTCAAACAATGGTGGATCTTGCCCGCTCCATCCTCAATTTTCCGATCAGTTTCCATAATCACTAACAATTCTCCAACTCGCTCTGGTCTATGAATTTGAACAAGGATATTGAATGCCATTAGCCGATAACTTTGGTGGCCTCTAGATTGTCTTCATAAAACTATGGAAGTTAAGGCCAGAGCTCCCGGAAAAATTATACTCTCCGGCGAACACGCAGTCGTTCATGGATCCACGGCCGTCGCTGCCTCCATCAGTCTCTATACTTCCGTTTCCCTTGCATTCCCAAGTCATTCCGGTACGCTCTCTCCCTCTCACCCCCAGCGCTTTAACTTTATGGAACTGTAGGATCTGAATCAACTGAATGTCCAGGGATCGGGTTACTTGGACGTGATGATCCAATTGTTTGACGTACTTTAAATGCTTTCACAACCTTCCTTTCGATGTTCTTCAATTTTGTTTATTGATTCTCTGGTGCTGAGAACGTGTTTTTAGGATTCGGGATCGTTAATGTTGATGTAGGTGGACTTGTGTTGAGAGTATATGACATGGAAATGTCGATTAGATGCCCGTATGACAGAAATTTGTAGACCATTTGCTAAGATTCAAACGTAAGATTTCTATATTAGGTTGTCATATATATTCTATCCCAATAATCAAGTGTTCGGCCAGTTTACTACGGAACATCAAATTGACTCTTTAGTAATTTGTTTTATACTGTATTATCATAACCTTGATATTTTAATCTAGGGAGGGATGTCATTGATTTGCTGTCAAGGATTGAAATTGCAGATAATATCATGAGAAAATCAAGGATGTAATTGATATGCTAATGGGATGGAGTTTAGAAGTTAGAACACAGAAGGAATTAACTAACGAGACACTGAAAAAGCATCTCCACCTTTTTTTCCTCTGCAATTTTCTGGTCATTCATGTTACGTATGGCCTGGATGTAGAATGTGTTTTGTTGTCTTGTCTCTTTGTCAATCAAAATAGTTCACTTCAACATTTCTTATGAGATTGAATGCATTTGTTAATAGGCAACGATGATACCCTAAAAATCCAGCTGAAAGATATGTCATTGGAGTTTTCGTGGCCAGTTGGTAGAATTAAGGAAGCTCTGGCTGAATTTAGTAATGTCATTTCCTCATCACCGACATCTTGCCCAGCTGCGTGCTTGAAATCAATCGGTGCTCTAGTTGAAGAACAGAACATTCCCGAGGCAAAATTTGGTCTTGCATCTGGGTTATCAGCATTCCTCTGGCTATACTCCTGCATCCAAGGGTATGTGTAGTATAATTGGCTCGTGTTCTATGCAATTCTAATTTCTGTTTATCCCTGTTTTTGTTAAGCCATTTTTCCATTCTCTGTGTTTCAGATTTAAACCTGCTACGGTGGTTGTCACATCTGAGCTTCCTATTGGATCTGGCCTGGGATCGTCTGCTGCATTCTGTGTCGCAGTTTCAGCTGCTCTACTTGCTTTATCTAATTCTGTAAGCGTGGACATGGCCCACCAAGGATGGTCAAGTTTTGGGGAAAAAGAACTTGATTTGTTGAACAGATGGGCATTTGAAGGTGAAAAGATAATTCATGGAAAACCATCTGGAATTGACAACGCAGTAAGCACATACGGTATGTGATTATCAATTTATCAATACGATCCCAATTGTATGGTTACTTAGCACTTCAGATTAAAGTGAAACATCATTCAGTTCAGTCTGAATCACTCTTGATCTAAATATCAGTATGATGTTAAGGCCCAAAACGTATGAAAAAAACTCTAGTCTGATCTAAATAACTAGCTGAAGAAAGAAATGTTACTCGTTATATCTGTGATTTTATGAGAATGTGCCATAATTTCCACGATTATATCCCAATGATAAAGAAGAAACAATACATAAGCCTTTAGACATTTAGAGATCTTCGAGCAAATAATGGAATTGGATAAAAAGCAGGGTTATGACTCACCAATTTATATGTTATACAACATGTTCTTCCTAAATAGAGAATCTTGTGTTAGGAAATATGATCAAGTTCAAGTCTGGAAGCTTAAGCCTCATCAAACCCAGCCTACCATTGGAAATGCTTATCACCAACACCAAAGAAGGAAGAAACACAAAAGCTTTAGTTGCTGGTGTTTCAGAAAGAACCATCAGACACCATGATGCATTGAACTTCATGTTTAATGCCGTTGATTTCATTAGCAAGGAACTATCAGCCATTATCGAGTCGCCTGTTTCTGACGAAGTATCGATATCCGAGAAGGAAGATTGTATGGCAGAGCTGATGGAAATGAATCAAGGGTTGCTCCAGAGCATGGGGGTGAGCCATGCCTCGATAGAAACTGTTCTAAGGACGACATTGAAGTACAAGTTAGCATCCAAATTGACAGGAGCTGGAGGTGGTGGCTGTGTTCTGACGCTGTTGCCGAGCTGTATCCTATTCCTCCCTTATTTTTCTCACTGTTTTCTGTTTACACATGAATTTTCAAGAACATCTTTGCATTTTATTCCCATAGGTTTCCTTGACGATGCTAAAAAACAGTGCTTTCAGGAACGATTGTTGACATGGTGATTGCAGAGCTGGAGTCGTGCGGGTTCCAATGTCTAATTGCGGAGATTGGAGGAAGAGGAGTTGAGATATGTTTTGATGAGTTTTCAAGCACTGATATGAATCAAAATTTGTAAGTTTTTTTTTTTTTTTTTCTGATCGGAAGAATATATAAAATAAGGCGCTTGGTTCCTACGTTTTGACTTGTGTCTCACACAGCTTTTGCAATTTCATTCGGTGTTTGTGTTTCGTAAGCTTAAGAAAATTTTTAGTTTATGGACCTTGATCTAGAGTCGAAAAAAACTTGAACTCTATTGGAAATTTGAATTTGTAAAACCTAGATCGGAAAAACCAGTAATAGCACCAATAATATCACATAGTAAATGAACAAATTCATCTCTCTATTCTAAAATTATAATATATTTTCCTAGATCGATCAAGTTGGCTAAACAGAGCTTAGAGCTTAATTAGCTTAGCAATCCTACCCCTACTTATCGTACTAAACAAAAAAAAAAAGATGAAAAAATACATTCAATTAAAACACTTCTAAAATTATAAAAGACCAAATCCAAAGACTCAAAGAAAAACTTCAAAAACGAAATGGAAGCTAAACCAAACTTATTTGAAGTTTTAGAACTATAAATTGACAAAATATCACTGTTATAGCTGATTTGTTAATTTTAAATATTTTTACGATTTTTTTATTTTTAGAATATTTGTTAATTTTAAATATTTTTAGGTTTTTCTAAAGATAGAGAATATTTATTAATTTTAAATATTTTTTACAAATTTGTTACTTTTGAATATTTTTAGGTTTTTCTAGAAATACGACTTAAAAGTATTCGTCAACGTGTGAGTTGATATGGACGTGTAAAAAGTGGAGTGACCTTGACATTGCTTTACATTATTTCCCAAAATGGGGAAGTGTACTTTACATCACACTTAATAATTTATTTATGTTATTGCAAATTAACTAATTTGACCAGATCTAAGACCAAAATTCTATTATGGAGATTTAAATTTCAGAAATTTAAATAGGTAGGTTAGAGAAATATTTAAATAGATAGGGTGGAGATCTAAATAGGTAGGTTAGAGATTTAAATTAATTATGGAGATTTAAATAAGTCTGGTTAGAGAGAGATTTAAATAGATATGGTGGAGATTCAGATCAACGACGTCTTTGACTTTGATTTTGATGAGACTGAGAGCTGATACCTGCTGATTCACACCTATAATAATGATTCGCCAATCTAAATCGCTATCTAAACATCTCCCCTTCTAATAAACATAGCGATGATCTGCCATTTTATCCACATCTCCCATCTTGCGTCCACCTATAATCATCCAACTAACTTATGATGTAATTTAATATTAGAATAAACAGCTCCAGTCCTAAAAAATTCACTTATGTAACATATACTAAATTAAAATGGCCAATCTGACAATCCTACTAAAAAAAAACTAAATTAGAACCAAATAAGGGGAAATTTGTAACAAAATATTTCATAGAGTTGACTTCCAAAGTCCCCATCAACATCACCATAAAGAGAAACACGACGAAACTGAACTTTTTCCATTTGAAGTCTAACTTTATTGCAACTTGGATATTATATACAATACATACATTATTACATTTTCTTCCCCAACTACATAACTCTCTCTATTATTAGCTCTCAACACCAACAGATCCTCTCAAGCATTCACTACCGTCCCACCTGAAAAAATATATATATATATTACAAATTCCATTAAAACATATATTAAAAAATTAATTAATCAAGCCATTCATGATATAACCATACCAAAAAATGAAAAGAAAAAAATTACCATTAGGGTGGAGGACTTGGCCAGTTATGTAGGAGGAATCAACGTTGCAGGCAAGGAACACGAAGGACGGAGCCACCTCTATGGGCTGCCCGGCCCGTTTCATCGGCACCTCCGACCCGAAATTGGCCGTCTCTTCCTCGTCGAAAGATGCCGGAATCAATGGCGTCCAGATCGGCCCCGGCGCCACTCCGTTCACCCTTATCCCCTTCGTTGCCAGCTGCAGCGCCAGCCCTCTCGTGAACGCCACGATCGCCCCCTTCGTCGCCGTGTAATCCAGCAGCTTCGCGTTCCCTTTGTACGCGTTCACCGACGTCGTGTTGATTATCGAGCTCCCTTCCTTCATGTGCTTCAACGCATGCCTGTCAACGCATCGTAATTCATCATCATTTCGGCAAAACGTAATTTGCTTTCTTCTCAAAATTTCCGATTCTAAAAGTATCGATCGATTAGGGAGAATGCCCTAAGATTTTATCGATTGTTCTGAATTAATTGACCTGGTGGTGAAGAAGTAGGAGAATATGTTGGTTCTAAACACTCTCTCCAGCCGCTCCTCGTCGATGTCTTCCACGGAACTGGACTTGTACTGCTCGGCGGCGTTGTTGACCAGAACGTCGATCCGACCGTACGCCTTCACCACCTCCTCCACCACCCTCTTGCAGTTCTCGTCGTACCCCAAATCCGCCGTAATGGCCATCGGATCCTTGGCTCCGGCGCTCTTGGCCTTCCTTATCATTTCGATCGTGTCGTTGGCGTCTCTGTCCTCCTGTGTCTTCACGTACGAGAAGGCCACGGTTGCGCCCTCCAGAGCAAAGCAATAACACACCGCCCGCCCTATGCCGGAGTCGCCGCCCGTCACCAGCGCCACCTTCCCCTGCACACATTCTTCCCTGCTCAGTTCATGGGACTTTATGTTGACAAATCTGATACCATTAAAGATAAAATTGAAGAAGATACTTGAAGCTTATTGGCAGGTTTGTAGTCTGGGCTGGTAAACTGGGGGGTTGGGTCCATGACGTGCTCTTTACCAGGCTGAGCTTGTTGCTTCTGCGGAGGGAAGTTTTTGCGTTCCGATGCCATGTTTCTCACCAGAAAAACCGATAATCTGACCGGAATCTTCGTTGAACGTTGCCGGAAAACACCCACCAACGAATAAGAAGGCGATCTAGTGGAGTAAGAACAGAATCGAGAAAACATACAAATTAAAGGGGAAATTTGTTATTGATTTCGGGATTGAGGATTGGGTTTATATGTGAATGAAGAATGAAGAGGTGGAAAGTGATGATCATTAGAGGAAGTCGACGTGTCGTCACAGTCGGTCGCGGCGGACACGTCTGTAGAAACGGAGGTGGAGGTGTCGACAATCCATTCATATATGTGAAAGAGAGTCTTCCAGAGGCTGTGGAGTTCCGTAAGAGTGGAAAATTAGTTTGTTGTATTTATAAATATACCACTATAAATAAGATTTTGTAAATACAGTAATCTTCTAGGGTGAACATTTAAAATTGATACTCGTTAAAGCCCTAAAAGGTCAAACTCTAAAATTTTTTTTTTTCCAAAATATGAGTGGGGATTCCAACTTAATAAAAAAAAGTATGTTACAGTGAAGATAACGAAACAAATATAATTATATAATATTCATTTTCCACCTTCTTCTTGCAATATTAAGGACATAGAGAGTGGTTTTAATGCGCCCAAAGTCATTTTACTCATGTGATTGAAAATAGAATGTTCGAAAAAGATTATTCTAGAAAAATCCAAAATTATTTTATGTGATTTCTAGTTAATCAGGGTGATTCTTCGAATAATTTTTTAACAAAAAAAATTAATAGATGATTGATTTTAAAATKGTTATTGTTTTAAATTTTCTAAATTATTTTTATATTCACCTTATTTCTACCCTAAGTTTTGAGATTTTATTTTTCTCTTTACTAAAATTTTGGTCCCAGCTTTATTATCTTTAGTTTTGTTTAATATTTTTGTAACCTCAATCTAATTTTTTTCTTTCTCAATTTTCAAACTTAATCTCTCTAAAATTTTCCATTTTCCCCTCTAAAAATTTTGTCAAATTCTCTCTTTACACTTCAAATATTAATTATTTAAAATTATTTTTAATTACATAAAAATTACTTAATTTTTTTTAACTAAAGTTAAAATAATTATATAAAAATTACTTTCACGAAAATAATTATAATTAATATCAAAATTAAATCTCTTTTGCTTAAACATTTTACGGAGA